GATGGATGGATGGATGGATGGATGGATGGATGGATGGATGGATGGATGTGTGCCTACAGCACAGATACACGCCTGTATGACTACTCTGGGTTACATGTATGTATTTGTGCTGTGTTTATGTGCATAAGAAGAGCGTGGAGAAAGCGGGGAGGGAGGGGGGAGGAAGAGGGGAGGACAGGCGGTCTTCTACCAGACTCTGTGCAGCTACACTGTATTTAAATCCTATCCTGATAAATCTGTATTCCTGTTCTCTACCATCTCTCAGGAGCTCCACAGAGCTCACACACGGATGCCCCCAGGTCCCCTTTGTATCTGTGTGCTCCTTCTCACCCGCGGCAATCTGCCCACTACACCCGGCCCCACTGAGGGCTGAGTTCGGCCCCAACTCAGCGCAGCAGTGTCCCGGGGGCTGCAGGCCCCCCCCCGCCCCCCCAAGGGGCTGTGCGTCCATCCCAGCGCTGTGCTCCCTCGGGGGGGCTCTGCGGGGTATGGACACTCCCATAGGGAGGCCTCGCGCGGGGACCGTGCGTGGCCAGGGGGAGGGAAGGTCCGGGGAGCGCGGGCTGGCGGCGGGGGGCGAGGGCAGGGAAATGGCGGAGCAGTGCCGGGAGAAGGGGAGGTGACGCCGAGGCGGTGCGGGCGCGGCGAGCGTGGGCAGGGGCTGACTGCGGGCTTGTGCGCGCGTGTGCGCGCATGTGTGAATGCGGGGCGCGCACACGTGTATGGGCGTGGGGGTGCGGCACAGCCTCGTGTGGGCTCCCGGGGGGAAGCGTGTTCTCCCCGCGCCGCCATAGCTCCTGGCTCGGCTGCGTTGGGGGCACACGGATCCCCCCACCCCCGCGCTTCCCCAGGAGTTGAAGCAGAGGCCCCCCGCCCTCAGGCCCAGCCCTGCGGTCGATTCGCGTTCCTTCCCCGCCCTCGCCACCCCGAGCTTCGGTTCGCAGCTGGAATTTGCCGGGGGGGTGTATTACGAGGCGGACCCCTCGTAGCACCGCTGCTGCCCCCCGCCCCCCCGTCCTTCGCGCTGATACCCACCCCTCTGGGGGCCCCGTCCGGGCGGCAGCGCGGTGGGGGGCGGTGGGGGGGCGGCCCCCTCCGCCTGGGCGGGGACCCCCGGCGTCGGCTAGGCGGCTCCGCGCTGCAGCCGGTGGCCGCGGGAGGGCGTTCCCTGTGTTAGTTCCCCGCGGGAACCAGGGCCCAGCGCCTCCGCCACCGCCCCCCGCCGCCCCGCAACGCTCTCCGCTCGCGGCGGCCCCTCTCCGGCCGCGGACGGCGGCGGAGGGGCGGCGCGGGGTGGCCGCCGCAACGTCCCAGCCTCCGTCGCATCTAGTGCCCCCCTCCTCATACCCATCGCCGCGCCGGGCGCGCCCCCCAAATCGCTGCGGAGGGCGGCGGGAGGGGGCCGCGGAGGCAGTGGTGTGTGGGGAGGCGGCGGGGCGGGGGGCGCGGCGCGGGCGGAGCGGGGCGGGGGGCGCCGGCGGAGGCGCAGGAGCCCCACGGAAGGGCCCCAAGAAGCACAAGTGGGAGCTGGCGGCGGACCAGGCTGTTGTTGTTCTCAACGCGGTCCGCCCAGCGCCCATATAAGGGAGGCGAAGGCGCCCGCCCCGCCAGTGCGCGGCGGCGGCGCGGAGCGGAGCGGAGTCGGAGAGCAGCGCGCAGGGCCCGGGCCCCGCCACGCCGCGGCCGCTTGTGCCCGCCCGCTTCCCGCCTCCGTCCCGCGGCCCCCGGCACCATGTCGGTGGAACTGGAAGAAGGCGATCTGCCCCTGACCGAGGCGGAGGAGGCGCCGATCTCCGCCGAGAAGAAAGCGGCCTCTAAGAAGGCGAAAGCCGGCGGTTCTTCGTTATCGCCATCGAAGAAAAGAAAGAACAACAAGAAGAAGAACCAGCCGGGCAAGTACAGCCAGCTGGTGGTGGAGACCATCCGCAAGCTGGGCGAGCGCAACGGCTCCTCGCTGGCCAAGATCTACAACGAGGCCAAGAAGGTGGCGTGGTTCGATCAGCAGAATGGGCGCACCTACCTGAAGTACTCCATTAAGGCGCTGGTGCAGAACGACACGCTGCTGCAGGTCAAGGGCACCGGCGCCAACGGCTCTTTCAAGCTCAACAAAAAGAAGCTGGAGGGCGGTGGGGACGGGGCCGCGGGCGGCGGCGCGCATAGAGCCCCCAGGAAGGCGGCGGCCGCCGCGTCCCGGCGGGCGGAGAAACCCGCGGGCAAGAGCCAGAAGGCCGAGAAGAAATCGCACAAGAAGGGAGCGGGCGGCGCGGCGGCCAGGAAGGACAAAGCCAAGAAGGCCGCTAAGAAGGGAGCCGCGTCCCCCGGGGGCAAGAAGGTGAAGAAGTCCGCGAAGCCCAAGGCGCTCAAGGGCCGGAAGGCATGAGGGGGGGCGCGGCGCGGGGGGCGCTCCCCGCCCGGACTGGGGGGCGCGGGGCAGGCTGCTCTGCGGGCGGACTCCGGGGGGCCGCTCCATGTGCCCCATCCCCCTCCGTCTCGCCTCGTTTTTCCTCCCCGCTCCTCCCGCCCGCCCGCCTCTTTCCGATCGCTCCCTTTTGTTTTCGGCCGCGCCCCTCCCCGCTCGCAGGCTCTTTCGGATCACCCCCGGCCCCTCTCCCCGCCGCCTCGCGGGGCTTTTTCCCGCCCGGTTTCCATAGCAGCCGCTCGGCGCCCCCGCTGCCCCCGCGCCACGTGGGCCGGCGCTCACCGCCCCCCTCCTCGCCCCGCCCGCCTGGCGCGCCGCTCCTGCTCGCGGCCATTCGAAAAGCCACGGCGCCCCCTATTGGCTCCCGGCCCCCGGCGCCATGGCAACCGCCCGTTAGGCGCCAATTGGCTCCCGCGGCGTCTGGCGCTCTTAAAGGGCCCGCGCTTCCGAGCGGCCCCCGGCGGTGGGGGTGGGGGTTCCCGGCCTGGCGGTCAGGTCGCGCCTTAATGGCCTTTAATTTTGGTTTTGTTTTTTTTTTTCTTTTTTTGTAAACGTTTTTGGGGTTGGGTTTCGTTATGTTTTTTGAGGGTGGGAGACTTTTTTTTTTTTTTTTTTTTTTTTTTTTTTTTTTTTTTTCCAATTTGACGTCGTTTCAAATAAATTGATAAAAAACTCGGAGCGGTGGTGATGTGCTCCCTGCAGGCTCCGGGGGCTGCGGCACCGCACGAAAGGCATCGGGGATTTCCCCAGGCGGGAAGAGAGGCCCGGCCCGCAGCTGTCATTGGCAAAGCGCCTGGAGCAGCGAGGGGGGGGCTCAGCGGTGCAGCATCACCCCTAGCGCAGCTCGAGGCCTCCCGGGGCTCCATCACCCCCCCCCCCTCACTGCCTGGCACCGCACGGATGCATCTCCCCCAGGAGCTGCAGTTGCGTGCAGGCACCGATGGCTCCGTTGGCATCGGTGCAGAGTGAGCCGCCCCTCCATCGGCTGTGCCTATTTATAGCTCGCAGCAGGGAGGTTGCATAAAGCTCTGCCGGGGATCTGGGCCATGTTGTTCCACTGGGTCCTCCGGAGCTCAGCCCTGTGAGACACCTCCCAACTCCTGCACCATGAACATGGGGGGGCCGGGGCAGCAGGAGGGGCGGTGGGGTCACGCTGCACCTCAAGGAGCTGCTGCACGGGTATGAAGCCGGTATCCCCACGGTGCCCAGTATCTGATGGCCGGCAGCAGGGCGAACAGAGATGTGTGAATTCTGGGAGGCTCTCCAGGTCTGCGTTCAGGATGCAGCTGCTGGGTCAGGCAGGCACAGTCACACCGAGGCTGGCTATCTGCCAGCCGTCTCAGATGCTGGGAGAGCTGCTGCACTCGGCGCAGAGCTGCAGTTGTCTCCTCAGTCAATAGATGACACTGCAGGTTTTGGAGGAGCAGAGGGAATGCCATCACCGAGCTGGTTGGCCTCAGGCAGGAGGAGAGCCACACTCAAAGGTTCTTGCAGTTCCCTGGAGCAGGCTGTGTGCCAGCAGCAGGGTATCCCTGCTTCCTCCTCCTGTGCTGCCTACAGCAGTGACCCTTCATGCACACTGCTGGGCAGACAGGGATAGAAATAGATAAAGCACTGCTGACATTCCTGAGAAGTGCAGTGCAGAGGCAAAGGGGAGTGGAGCCCAAGCCCAGACAGCAAAGGGCAGACAGAGGCGATGCTCTGTGCCCCAGCACACCTTGCTGGCCCAGCCAGAGCCCTGGGGCAGAGGGGCTGGCAGCGTCCTGCTGCCCAGCTCAAGACTACTGGAGCCATGGTGTCTCTGTGCAATCCCACGGACGCTGCCAGCCCCAAGGGCCTGCCTCTGGGGGCAAAGCCAGGACTCCCAAGGGCAGGCAGCTCCAACCTCACCCCAAGAGGACAGCAGCAAGGTCCAGCTCTGCGGTATGAAGGCAGAGAGCTTTTGCAGCACAGAGAAGCTCAATTTCCATGTTCCTGCACCCATCTCCCCCTCGGGCTGCAGTGTGCCCAAGGGGAGGCAGTGGAGGAGAGAGCCCTGCAGTCCCCAGCTCTCCTCACAGAGAAGCAGAGGCTGATGTGCAGACTTCGAGGCTTGCACGACCTCAGAAGCTCCACGTAGTTGAGCCCAGCACCGTTTCTGAGTTCAGCTGCTCTGGTGCCGTGAGGCATCCAGCTGTACCCGGAGCTGCAGCTCTGGACGTCTGTCCCAGCTGCTTGATGAAGATTGTATGGAATCCAGGTGCTCCCAGTGGTCACACTGCTGTTCAGATGTGAAGATGAGGAGACACCACAGGCTGAGCCCTTCAGTAATGCTAGGCTGGACAGACGGGATTTCCTTTCTGTCTGCCAGCAGCCAGGCTTTCCCAGGCTATCATTCATGCGGCTGGCAGTGCCCAGCTCTCACCCAGCTGCCAGGGGTGCACATCCACCCACAGCTCCAGTTACAGCTGCAGCATCTCCCCATCACCTCAGCCACCGGCAGTCAGGGGATGACCACAGTTGCTACTGAGCTGCTCAGCCCCAGGCCTGCTATGCAGCACTCAGCCAGCCCAACACACCCCTGTGCCCTGCCCTGCCCCGGGGAACCTGCTGTGCAGCACTCACTGGGCAGCACTTAAAGGCCAAAGAAAGGACAGCTGTTTCTTTGCTGAGTCCAGCAGCTCCAGTCCTGACCCACACCTTGGAATGCACACCTCAGACCCGGCCAAACCCTAACCCTGACTGTGAGGGAAGCTTCCTACAGCCTTTCTCCCCCAGCCAAGCATGAGGGTATGCGGCAGCTCTGGCTTGCTGTGCCATCACAGCAGTAACCCACGAACACTCAAGAAAGGAAGAGGGTGTCAGAGTAAACATCCCCCATTACACACAGGCCTCCACCCACCCCCATCTGTGTCAGCTGTTCCCATCAGACCTCCAGAAGCTCATTCAGTGCCTTGAGCATCTCCAGCAGAGACTGGGGGAAGGCTCCAGGTGCAGCTTCATTCTGCTCTGCTGCTCCCAGCCCAGGGGCCCCACACGCTCCCAGGCACCACTGACAGAGTGAGAAAGAAGAAAGCAGCAGAAAGAAGAGCTGGGGAAGGGTTTTACCTGCCCCTAGGGTGAGTGGAAAATGGTATGTAGGAGATAAGTGCATGCACAGGTGCTAGGCTAGATCTGGTCCTTTCTGCTCAGGGAAAAGCAAGCCCGGACAGCCAGCTTCCTCACAGCCTGCTCCTGCAGCCCACTACCAGCTAGAGCAGACTTGGTGTGGTGACAAGACAGCACATTCAACAGCATTCAACAGGGAACCAGTTTAATCAAATATTGGGTTTGCACCATTCTTTTCAGTATGACAAGTTCTGCATTTTCTAATACAAAGCACTCAGTTGTACAGAACGCTGGTCCTGAAGGATAGGAGGGAGAGAACAAGACGTGGGTGCAGACACGTTACCCACCCCCCACAGCAGCACACGTGGGGAGAAAGCCCACGGTCCCCATACAGCAGGGAGCCGTGCTGCAGCAGGGCACACAGCCAGCTGCTCCCACCCCATCTCCCCCCATCCCGAGATCAGGGTAGCACAGCATAACCAGGGGACATCTGCACCACGTGAGCACACCAAAAGTGCCGCTTCCACATCCTCCAGCAGAGCACAAAACCCCTCCCTTGAAGCAGCAGGCACACATCCAGCTTCATCTGCTCTAGGTGAGCACAGTGCCAGCGCCAGGCTAAGGTACTTCACTCACTAGGGTAACAGCAGAAGCAATAGGCTGAACACATGCTACTTACAGCACATAAATAGAAGCTGCTCATTTTACTCAGAAAAACAAGAGAAAAACAAGAGGTCGTGAAGGTCTGCAGTCCAATTGCCCAGACAGCGCCGCATGCACGTGACGATGGGCCTCCATGGCAGCAGGCTGCACTAGGCAGTGAGGAACACTGTCAGCACATCAGCCATTCCTGGTGTCACGGGACAGCCCTGTGAGCCTACATTATCCACGGCCATTCAGCACATACAGCTCGAGCTAGGAACAGGCTTCAGCACAAACTGTACTGTTGGTGCTGTTGTTCTATAAAGAAACATTAATCCACAGAACGTTACACATAACAGACAGCATCATCACTTTATTTCTCAGAACCAGAAACGGTGTTGAACAAACAGAAAGACACAGCATGTCATTTTTGGAAGTGCCATCGGGGTGTGATGGAGCCGAGGGACACGGGGGGCTCCCACAGACGGGGCCGCTCCGCCAGCAGCACGGAGCCGCAGCAGAACATGGCAGCTCCCGGCGCCTGACCTTGCACTGCTCTGCGGGGATGTGACACCGGAGTGCCCCAAAGCCCCCTGAGCTGGGAGCTGCCTCTGTGGGAGAAGGGACTACCCAAAATAAAATACCTCCAAATAAATAGGACCGGAGCTTCTTAACAGTAGGAACGCACGAGCTTTAACCACGGACAGAACTAAGACTAACAGTCGCTCCTTGCTGACGGAGAAACTTCTGCTTTTCGCATTTGCCAGCCCCCCCTGCCGCAGTGCAGCGGGGATGGCACCGCTCAGGGTGTGCAGCAGCAGCAAGCCTCAGCCCCACGCCAGGGCAGCAAGGACAGCCGCGGGGGGGCTTGCAGGGCCCCAGGGCCGGTGGAGGCAGCCGGAGGTGCCCGTGTCCATCTCCACGCAGCCACAACAGTCCTCGGCAGCTCCACGCAGCGACCCAACCGCACCGCCCCGGCCCCCGCCAGCCGCACCCCCGCCATCTCCTGCAAAAACGCTTCTTCCAGAGAGTCGGGGCGGGGTAGGGGACACGAGAGGGGCTCGGCCTCGCCCGCGCTCCCCCAGCACCCCACTACAGCCCAGGCCGGGGGCCAGTGGAGAGCTGGAGGGGCACAGCCGGGGCTCACCCCCCAACCCGGGCGCAGGAGCAGGAGGGGAACCAGGTGCGGGGGGCAGCGGCGAGGAGGGGACCGGGAGAGGGGCAGCGCTCACTTCTTGGAGCTCTGCGTCTTCTTGGGCAGCAGCACGGCCTGGATGTTGGGCAGGACGCCGCCCTGGGCGATAGTCACGCCGCCCAGCAGCTTGTTGAGCTCCTCGTCGTTGCGGATGGCGAGCTGCAGGTGCCGCGGGATGATGCGCGTCTTCTTGTTGTCGCGGGCCGCGTTGCCCGCCAGCTCCAGGATTTCGGCCGACAGATACTCCAGCACGGCCGCCAGGTACACCGGCGCCCCGGCGCCCACCCGCTCCGCGTAGTTGCCCTTGCGCAGCAGCCGGTGCACGCGGCCCACGGGGAACT